CGTCTTATTTCATTTCCAACAGACAAATGAATTATTTTTTAAAGTTTTCTTCATTTCAAGATCATTTTGCTTTCATTTTAGTTAGCCTTCTTTACTTTGTACTGAATTTCACGAACAATTAAACAATGATGAATCGCTCTTGCGTAATATGGAAGTTTTTAGGTTCTACATTGTGATGAGTAGTCTTACTCTAACCATGGCGAAGATGAAAATGTTATCGAAACAGAGAAGCTCCATTTCAGCAGCGACCACGTGGCTAAATCCTGTGTAGTCCGATCCATATGTATCACTAGACTAGCCTTAAAAATACATTTCCGTCATGATAAAAATGTAAGCTTCCATCTGAAAGTCACTCTCTTCTGGTTTCGCTGAAACGATTGGGAAGCAGCGCATCTGACATTACAAATATCTTCCAGGGTTTTCAGGCTTTCCGAAGAGCAAAGGGTTTCCGAAGTTTTGTGTATGATGTTTTTCGTATGTACTTATTTGAAAGCAATTTACTGAAATAGAATGTTAAACTATCGAATGTTTCTTCGAGAAACAATAACAATGGATTGTTGTTCTTTTTATTTTCAATTCAGTTTCCAATGGAAATGATGTCGTCTCACCCTTGCTAAAGAAAAGTGAGTTTGTTGTTTTAAGCGAGAGCGTTATTCCGGAGCATTCAAATTCATAGTTCTCCTCGTGACGTAGAATATACAAAGGCATGAGAAATCCCGCGTTCGCGCGTGCGAAGGGGTGAAAAGAATCAGAGCTGCGTGAGAACGCGCGTTTCATGGGGCTCTCTTCCGCCGCCGCCGCACGACTCCGTCCGCGTGTTGCGCGCGTCCAGCGCTCTCGCCGCCACCTCCGCGGCAATATGATCCCGGAGGCCATCTTCCTTTTACGCCAGTTCCGAGAAGCGTCGCTGCACGGCGGGGCGAGCCGGGCACGCCGCCGCACCTGCATTCGCAGAGGATTTAAGTTTGCTTTCACCTATGACATCCGGATTACCCATACAGCTGTGGCGCATACTTACGTAATTTGAACTTTTGGAGACGATGGAAAAATCATGGAACGTTGTAGACAGCTATACAGTTTAAATGTACATTATACGTTTTACAGGGATGTCATAGTTACATAATATTAAATATACTGCAATTTAATTATTTCTCTCCGCAATTGTTTTCCTGTTCAGAGAAAAGGTGAATCGTGGAAATAACATACTTACCTTTTGTTTTTGTTTCCGATTATCATGAAAACAAATTACTTTCATTGGCAGAGGGGCCCTAGAAGGATGGCTAGCATATATTCCTTTCACTGTTGGGGTCCCGAGTTCGATCCAAGGCCAATTTATGAGGAATCTGTAGTGACAATGTGAGCTCTCGATAGATTTGCCGGGTTTCTCTTTTTCCCCCTGCCTTTCATTCCATCATTCACCTCCATTGCCGCAATAGTTATCATCTACTCACTAGAAATCATCACGCATTCAATTCTGTGTGACCCAAAAAAATAATTTAAAAAAGTCAATAAATTACGTATTAACATATTAAGATTATGTAAAACATACAAATGTCCGATCTAAATGGAATAGGAAAAAAACAACAACAAAATTTGTGACTGCCCACTCTTGACATTATTGTTTCACACGAAAATATGTCAATTATTGTGCAATTCTGTGGATCAAATGATTTCCCCCTCTAGTTGAGCTTGTGAGACTCGTGTCAATTCCGGACCGTTTGATGTTTTGAGCCGCAGGCGCCACAGCTTAGGGCAGCAACAGCAAGACACGACGCACGCACACGAAAAAAACCCGGCGGGTTCGCGCGTGTTTACGGGGGCGGGGCGGAGCGAGGGACGAGGCGACGGGCATTGGCCGTGCGCACTCGTGCGCCGTCGCCCGCCATTTGTATGTGCCACGTGCGCGCGCGGCGGCCGCTACTGCAAACAGGGGGTAGCGAGTGCCGCCCGCCCAGCACACAAGGGCGCGTGGGACGGGGTGGGCGCGCGAGAGGTGTGGTTTTTGTTGGATAATGCCAGGTGTGCCATGTTTGATGGATCTGGAGGTACGGGAGGTGGGGGTGCAGGAGACATTTCCACCTACAAACTGGTAGTGGTCGTGGCTTTCCATGTTGCAGGCACGGGTTGTTTCATTTAAACAATTTTTAATATTTAGGTTTCATTTTTTCTATACATATCGATGACGTAAATTATAATTAATTTGTTTTACAGAATTGAAATAGAAATTGGATACCACGTTTCTAATGTCTACTTTTCGTGAACTTTGGTTACGTTATTAACTGAACTTACGTTATCAATGGATTAGTGCTCTTGATATAGCAAGCATAGACCTAATCTGAAGAAGCTTAAACATCACTTACATAATTTAAAAAAGTATCAGAAATGCGAAATGCTGTTTTAATTATTCGATTAATACGTATGATGTAACTGAATTGATGGCTTCAAATCCCTTTGATTAAATAGTGGTATAATTCCAGCGAATGCATAAGTTGGACCCTCGATTAATTGTCGCGATAATGTTCTCTAAATGTTGGACGGTTTCTGTTGAATGAAGAAAACGAAAACAACAACAATCACTAATCATAAAGTTTACGAGAAAATAGTTTTAAGAAGGTTTTATTCAGTGTTGAGAAAAAGAAAGAAAGTTAACTTTGCCCTTTGTCCATTGCGAGCTTGCCAACTCTTTGTAACCTTTATTTCGCAAATTAAAATATTGAAGTGAGTGACCTTGGTCTGTTTTGTTTGTGCAGGCACGGGCAACACCAGCACGGACGGCACCTACAAGCCCAGCTTCCTCACGGACCAGGAGCTGAAGCACCTCATCCTGGAGGCGGCGGACGGTTTCTTGTTCGTTGTCACCTGCGACACCGGCCGCATCATCTACGTCTCCGACTCCATCAGCCCTGTGCTCAACCAGTCGCAGGTAAGTTGTGCCACCTTACTGCTGTTCACTATTTTGTTTAGGTGCCTGTGACAGGCAGCTCCTAGGTTCGAGTCCCTACATTGGCAAGATTTTCGATACTAGCTTGACAGATATGTCGACCTCAGTCGCTATGTGGAGGAGAATTCTAACAGCCGGCTGCTCTGATTGGTAGTTTTCGTGGTTTCTCCTATCAACGCCAGGCGAATGCCGAAGCTGTTCCCTAGCAAACAGTCCAGGGACCGCGCGCGATCCTTCCTTCCTCCTGTTTGTCCTGTCCTCACCACTTACGTACACACTTACACTGACAAGTACTACCCTGCTATATGCCAGGACACCAGTCGGGAGCTTAGAGCTTGCCCCGGCTGGGGCGGTGACTCGCTGATGTGAGATTCCTGGGAGGTACCTCATTCACATAAACATACAAAAAAAATTGTGTTTTACTGTTTATTTACTGGCTACAATCGTAGAAGTAAAAGTTAATTAGACGGAGTTTGTGGAGTTTTAATCTTTTCAAAAATTAGGGGACAACAATATGGAAGTGCAAAGCAAATCCGGTGAAGAATCAAATGTAGTTGTAGATATTGGGACATAATTTTCGGAACTAATTCAAAATGATATTATTGGAGAAAAATGCTGAGGATCAGCTTATAGGTGATATTTTATGGACATTTTTGTGTATATTAGCAAAGAGGCGTTCAAAATGGGAGCGGAACTAGTGTCTTAACTATTCGCAACATCCATACCTGCCGTACCCTAAATAGAATGTAAAAGTCTGAAAGCATATTTTATTATGATGTACCATAATGTTCATAATTGCAAGGAACATTCGTATATTATGATTAAATAAATTATTTCCATTACAAATTTTCTAGCGTTTTTTATATTTCGAATGCCAGAAATAGGGGCTCCTCACGAAACGTTTCGAGGGTCCGAGATGCGATAAAAATCAAGTTTTTTCTCATTATTACTTCTAATCTATGGATGTGTAGTCGGTAAACGGAAAACTTTAGGCCGTTGTTCATGTGAAACGATTTTCTTTAATGGATCTTCAAAAGAAGAAATTTGCCAAAGCTGCGAAATTACGGATTCAAAAAAGTCACCGAGTGACTAACTTCTCTGTGATCTCAGTTCTAACATGAACATACAGTGTGTTAGAGACCAAAAACCGCGTTTACAATTTTTGAGAAAGTGCAAATATACGAATGTCGTAGAGTAAATATCTTTATTCTTTTATATTTTGTCAGAATGTTTTTCCATTATAATGTAAAATATATTGTAACTAATGCATGATAGGCAAGTGTACAATGAGAAAAAAGCGAACTTGTTTTCTCCACTGAATATTTTCTGTTATATTCAATGGTAATAGAGTAATTACACTTTTCTGTTAATATAAAAGAAAATCTGTTCTTGTGATCATAATAACGGTACCTCATCAAAAAAGATTAATTTGTTCAGACAATTTTCTTTACAAATTTTTACAAAGTTTTAAAATTTACAAAAATATTAAAACAAACCCAGCGGATAATGTGGGTAGCTATATCCACACCCACTCGAATATGAGGTGAGAGAAATATTTCATAAACGTGAAATTCCAGGAATGACCGAAGTTTGTCGGTGTTGTGTCGACTCAAAACGTATATGCAATTTACTACGTTGGACGATCGGCTCAACAGTATTGCGAATTTACATCTTTATAGCACATATCCGGCAAAATCGTTTCGTAAAAGTTATTAAATGATTATATATCAAGAAATGCAAAGCGCCGCACTGCTTTTGAATTGCAAAAATGAAATGCTGAAGTTAGATAAAGTAAATGGAATGACAATTTACTGATAAATATGACAATTTAAAGAGAGAAAATGTTTTGTATTTTCCTTTCACGAACACTTTTGGTGGGTGATGGACTGGGGAGGGAGACCCCCTCCCGGGTCAACTACCCCAGTGGGATTTAACACAATCGCCAGTTCTGCGCTCAAATAAATGCATAGAACTGTTGCAGCAATTTTTAAATTGTATGCGATTTAAAATTGTCAATTTTTTAAATTATTTTTTTATTTTTTAACTACAGCTCAGCAATCGAAAAACAAATCTGAAAAAATTCACGTTTTGTGTTTTAAGAAGAACTTGAGATTTTTTCAAGGCTCTTCCTGTGTTCTAGGAAATCAATTTTTTTCTGGCAGTATGCGTTATTTTAATGTTTTTATTTTCACAATAGGATAAATAGTGTCAAAGTTGCCGAAGAAATTACAATAAAAACACGTTTCTTGTCTGTTACTTTTTACCATCTTTTGCGGACAGGACCCTTTGCCCCCCCTCAATATAATGTCCAAAATCTGCCACTGCCCATTGAAGTTTTGCATCAACCTCCATTCCGGCGTTTTATTTTTTTCTTCAATGCTGCACCTGGACTAAGTAAATTTTAAATAGCAATTTTAAAAAATCTAGCCACTTGAGATTATGTAACAGCACTGCGAGAACAGTTTTTTTTCCGCAATGATGTGTGAGTTAGTTTTTACAATCGATTTCCATTATTCGCCGCGCTACCCACTTTCGGAACATTTTTATAGTGTTCGTTTTCTTGTTTTAATGCGAAAAATTCTTATCCTGTTTTAGTTATTTTCTGTGTACTTAATTACATTTTCCTGCATTCTACATGTTAATTTTGTTCTCTGCTTCTCAATTGGTTTGTTCCGGTTCCATTGATTTATCTGCATTGCCGATATGTGCCACGGATCACGTCCTCAGATCTCCGCGACCCACTTTCCTAGATCTTCGCTCACTTGCTCTGTCGGGACTGAGAGATGTTACGCAAGATTATCAGTAGCGAGCGGATTCCTATGATTTTGCATATTTTTCTTCTGCTGTTTCAGGGCATAGCTAAGTAAAATTGCTTGACATTTGGTTAGTATTGAATGCTATGGAGGCTAACATGTTAAAACATATATGGCCGATTTTTCCTATTGGTGCATATTTGTGTAATTGTAGCCGCATAGTTTGCATATATCGTTAAAAGTCTTATCTCTTAAACGTTTCATCTTTGCTTAGAACCATCTATTTATTTATGGGTGTTCATTGATTAGAATGAGCTGGTTAGTTTGCGTGTTTTTTTTTCTCTACGTAACAAAAAAATACTTGTACGAATGTAGGATATTTCTTGAAATATCTTTTTTACCCTGGTTGAAGGAATGCATCAAGGTATACAATGTACTTCACTAAGATGAATGTTTACGCCAATTATTTCTCCCGCGAAGTAATTTAGATGGTATTATGTTTGCTCAAAAATATTTTTCAATTCAATTCAATTTTCAGGAAAAGCATGCTTCTCCTGAATTTTATCAAGAAAGGATTATACGGGAAATTAAATATTGTTAATTTTTATTGCGCATTAGAGGGTATTAGAGGGTATTTCATATTTTGTAGATCATAAATGCATATTTTAATAGCATATTTCAAGCTTTTTAAGTCATTACGTCATGTTCGTTATCGGAGGTCCATTAGAGTAAACTCGCCTAATAGTAAAGATTACTGTTTTCCGGAGGAATGAAGCAACCATCTCGGAAACGGCATATGGTAGAGAAAGTTGTTGCAAACAATTAGTGGCTGTAAAGTTCCCAATTATGTTACATGAATACATTGAATTAGGGCTATGCTGGCGGCTGAGTGTTAAATACAAGTGGTTATTTCTATAAGTGTAACATTAGGTTGCGCTGTGAGGTCGTCCGTAAAGCGACTGTTTCAAAACACACAACAGTTTGATGTTTCATTGTGCGTTTTTTATATAGAACGTGCAAACCGTTTTGCCTCTCGGCAAAATTAGAGCTTTCAAGTCTAATGTCAATCAAGGCGTCAAGTGTAGGCCGGGCACGCACGCAAAGGTGCACTTGGAATTGACACTTCATAGTAGTGTTGGTTACTGCATCCGGGGGGAGGGCAGATATCATGATGTAACATGGCAGTCAAATAAAGCATGGAACCATTCCGCAATCTACAAACACTGAAGTAAGAGCATATCTTAAAACATTGATCTCGCTTGTGGTTGGAAATACCATTTTTATTTAAAAGGAATTGCAACATATTAGATGAAGTGAACAATTGACTGTGCTGACAAGTTTGCATATGTACGGTGCAGAGGTTGCCAGTAAATTGTTTGCAAAAATAATTGTTTTAAATCTATATGTATATATTGAAGAGCCAAAAACAATGGTACACCTGCCTAATTTTGTTTAGGACCCCCGCGAGCACGCAGTAGTACCGCAACACGACGTGGCATAGGCTCGACTCTTTGAAGTAGTGCTAGGGGTAATGGACACCGTGAATCCTGCAGAGCTATGTATAAACCAATAAGAGTACGAGGGGTGGAGATCTCTCATGAACAGCACGTTTGCATGGCATCCCAGATGTGCTCAATAATGTTCATGTGTGGGGATTTCGGTGGCCAGTGGAAGTGTTTTAAGTCCAGAAGAGTGTTCCTGGAGCCATTCTGTACCAATTCTGGACGTGTGGGCTGTCGCAACGACCCGATGGAATTGCCCACGTCCGTCGGGATGCACAATGGACATGAATAGGTGCAGATGATCAGACATGATGCTTACGTGTCACCTGTCAAAAATCTTATCTAGACGTATCATGGGTTCCATATCACTCAAGCTGCACACGCTCCATACCATCACAGAGCCTCCACCAGCTTGAACAGGACCCTGTTGACATTCAGGGTCCATGGATTCATGATGTTGGTGCCATTTTCGTACTCGTCCATCCACTCGAAACAATGTGAAACGAGACTCGTCAGACCAGGCATTGTGTTTCCAGTCATCAACAGGCCAATGTCGGTGTTGACGGGGCAAGACGACCCTCGTCAGCGTAAAGCTTTGTGTCATGCCAGTCATCAAGAGTACACGGGTGGGCCTTCGGCTCCGAAACCCCATATC